TGTCCTGAAGTGATCTCCATGCAAATAAACCAGGAATGGACTGTCCTAAATGATTTATCTGAAAGTAGCCAGTGGTTTGGGGCAGGCTTTTCACTTCCCCAGCAATCTTGTGGAGTTCCTTTTATTGATGCAGAAAGCAAACAGAACAATGTCCACGCTGATCCACTCATGGTAGACCACAGCATAGCAGTAGTGGTGAAAGGGAAAGTCGAAGCTCTTCTAAGAGTCATTGCAGAAGAGCAGTCTAACACCAAAGGATATTAATTTAAGAGAAAAAAACTGGAAGAAAATGAGGGAAAGAGGAAGATAAAGTGTGTGTGTGTGTGTGTGTGCGTGTGTGCGTGTGTGTGTGTGCGTGCGCGCACACGCACGTGCCTATAAGGTGGGGAAGGAGAGAATGGAAGCCAAGGCTGGGAGAGAACTTTCCTGTTTGAGACCTAAATCATACTCAGTGGGGAATTCCCCAGCTGCAGGTTGAGTGTCTCGGGGTGTTTCTCCTGCATAGCTTGTGTGGTCCACCAGGCAGTGTTCCAGACCCCACAGGGAAAAACATCTCTCCTTAGAGTAGGTTCAGTTTATGGCTGCTATGGCCATTAACCTTTTATGCCACAGTGTTGCAATTTACTGACAAGGACACTTGAAAATATGACTCTTGTTGGATGGAAGGAGTTCTGGAACAATCAGTGTTTTGATAACTAGCCACTATGGGCCTCTTGCCCTGAAAAAATCGGATTATAAGAGATGGGCTAAAACCCTAAATCACTCCTCACTGTGTACCTCACCCACCTCTTGATGGTGCTAAGGGAAGGGACTCCTGAGGAGACAGGACTTTGTAGCCTGATGCTTTGATGACAGTATGAAAATGACCAGGTTTTATTGAACTGGGTTATTTGTTTGGTTTTTAAGTAGTGGCTGCTGTGCTCCCTTGATTATTTAAACTCTATTAAACTCTGTTCTGGTCCTTCATGAGTTGACTTCTTGCTCTTAGTGTGCTGGTTCCCACAGCAGCTGGTGGAGGAGAGGAGCAGAGACCCGACTCTCATGTAGGGGAATCCAGGTGGAAGATATGTGGCCAGGCATGGCAATCTCTTTTGAATTCCTTGATGGAGAAGATAAAAATATGAGTAAAAAGGCTCAGGTGCCATGTTTAAAGCCATTCCTATCCATCAAATGGATAAAGGAGCTTGAACTCGCCAACTGCCACCATGCCACAGCCTCTCTTTGAAAGCACCCTCCTCCCCCTGCAAATGTTTTCCTTCCTGGCAGTGGCCTGGCCTCACATCCCCAGTCCCTACCCTGGATGCCAGCAGCCCTTGGAGTCCCCTCTACAAGCCCCCACATTCTTTTAATGCTGTTTTGTCATGGACAAGTCTTTGTTTCCCAGCCATGCTGAAGGGCCTTGATTGTAGACACCTGGTCCCATCTGTCTTCATTTTTCAAAATCCTCAGTGTGGTTCCTGGGCACTTTGTAAACTTCTTTAATAAATGATGATTGGTTGACTGGTTGGTTAATGAAGACTACCCTTGGATGAACAAGTAAATCAGCCTTCCCCCTCTGAGTAACGCCTATCACGGAAAATGTGAGCTTCAAATTTCAGATCATATTTTCACAGTCATGAGAAGTCCTCCTGAGTTCCCATCAAAGTGGTTGGAGAGTGAGACAGGCAAACAGCCAGAGAGGGTATATCCAGCCATCTTGGATCCAAGACAAGGCAAGCCCTTTTTCACTGTTAGAATAAGGTAGTAATTATATGGTGGTGGTTGCAGTGTCTTTCCTATACCCAGAGAACTTGAGGGCAGACCTGGGTGGAGGTGGGAGGTTACCTCTGGCCCTCACACAGTACAGAGAGTCAGAATTCAGGCTTTGGGGTCAAACTGGCTGAGATTGAGTCCATACAGGGTCTCAGAGGAAGTAGGGTCATATGAGCACAAAGGTGAAAGTGGAAGTCATGTGGGTGGTAAGATCCTTTCCAGATCTGTGTTATCCTAGAGGTGTGGCCCATTCCACTCCCCCTTGTCCGTCCACCAATCATAGACACGCCCACCAACTAAACCAGGGTCCTAGAAGGTCCTCTCCAAGTTTGTCCTCATTACAAAAAAAGAGAAATTCAATTTAATTCCAAGTCCATGATCCCCTACATGCTTGTGCTATCTTTTGCTATCCAGGGAGGTGCTACCTCATCATTTCTGAGCTCATCATTTCTCCCTCCTCTCTACCCTTGCCTCTTCTTTCTGGAACTTTAGGGACCTGGTGGGAGAGCCACACTCCTTCCTACCAGCATCCTGAGGAAACAAGCTGAGGTTTACCTATTGGGCTTAACAGAAAAGGAAAGTGGCCCATGAGGGACAATGGGGCTTTTGAGAAAGAAAGCTCTTACTCACAGATATCAAGAATATTAGCAGGAGGGCTAGAGAAAATTACTATCAAAGTAAATTGCTTTTTTTGTATAAATGTTCTCTTTATTTGGGTTTTCCCTGGTGTGCCATTCTTTCCTTAAGGCTTGATGAACAGATGCACTTTTGGAAATGTTGATTAACTTACCCTTTTGTTGACCCTTCCCACTCACCCCAACTCCTGGGAGCAGTGATTACACAAAAAGCCAAGTCAAGCCCCTAGAGTGTTGTTCTTCACCTTAAGTAGCCTTTGATTCACCAGGTGCAGAAATCTCGGCACATCTGAGCAATCAATTACATAGAACCTTAGAAATGGACCAGTTCTGGGGCGCCTGGGTGGCTTAGTCGGTTGGGCATCCGACTTTCGCTTAGGTCATGATCTCGCGGTTCGTGGGTTCGAGCTCCGCGTCGGGCTCTGTGCTGACTGCCAGCTCGGAGCCTGGAGCCTGTTTCAGTCTGTGACTCCCTCTCTCTCTGACTCTCCCCTGCTCACGCTGTCTCTCTCTCTCCTACAAATAAATAAAAAAAACATTAAAAAAAAAAAGAAAGAAAGAAATGGACCAGTTCTTGGGAGGTCATCTCATCCATTCTTCCACCTCCAGAGACAAGAGGCTGTGATCTCCCAGGGCAAAATGTTCTCATACTCATTACCATCCTTTTACCCTTTTTCCTTTAAGATCAATGCCACATCCACCCCCTTCTAGCCATGATCAATAGAGTCCTAAGAATTCTTCCCTGAGGGGGTGAGATGGAGCAAAATGGCATTCTAACCTCCAAGAATCTGTCACATCCTTGGCAGAGACCAAATCCCTAAAAGCAAGAACAGGATTTGGCCCAAAAGTCACTGGCAAGAGCCCCAAAGTTTTTGTATTAGGCTGATTTGCATATTCTTATCCAATGTTCTGCATCTCTTAACCATGAAGGTGTTAAGACATATGAGCATCCCATCAAAACAATTAATGGATGGAAATGTGATGCTTCTCTTCGATGTTTGTTTGTTTATTTTTTCATAAGGTTAAAACAAAATCTCCAGATTGACTTTCACAAGCTCAGTTTGATCCCTATGACAGACACCACCTGCCTCTTGTTGATTCATATTCACATCTTCATTCCAGGGAAACAGCCTGCATTATAGGGGCCTGGAGAATAATGCAGGGGATGGGCACTGAGATGGGGAGGCTGGCGTGACCTGCAGGTGCCAGTTGCTGTGCTAGAAATATGCCAGAAACAGGCTGGATTTATGGCAAATCAGTGCCACATGTCATTGATCCTTTCAGGTGGGGTCCTGGCAAGTTGTTTTGTTGCCTCCCTTACTAATGACTGGGGGGGGGGGGGGGGGGGATGTCAAAATGTGCTTTAGCACTTTGGCCAGAAATGAGGAAGACTTCTGTCTAACATGATTAAAATCACTGCCTCCAGGAAAAGACTGAATTTCAAGGGTGGCAGTGATAGATCAATCCTCAGTTCATGTCATGGTCAAGTAGGTCTTCCCTGAGTGTGCTGATGAGGGAAAGTTCAGGCCGGTGTTAAGTTCTTTTTTTTCCTCTTGTTTGACAGTATTAGCTATTTGGGATTTGGGTTTTGATTTAGACCTGGATTTTTAGGTATCAGTTTATAGTGCTGACCTCAAGGTTGTTCACCTGACTTGGGGTTCAGTAAAACTCCTAAGGGGTCCATACACTTGCCGATGCCATCTTGAGCTGACAGCCAGGGCAGACATAATTAACCTGTGAGAAACAAAGAAATGATAAATCACCACATATTTGGTTCTCATTTTTGATGTTTTACCATTTTAGACAGGTAATTTTCATTGGCTCTGATTTCTAGAAGATGGACAGCATAGTGAATGGACTGTCTTTCCCACATCCCCCCAAAAATTATCATAAAACTTATCATAAAAAAGGAAAAGATAGACAGCGATTATACTGGAGAAAATTCACAGTAAATTAACCTAGCTCTTTTCAAGCCTGGGCTAGTCAGATTGGATGCCCACGTTTGACCTATTCTAAGCCATAAAGAAAGCCAATGGAAAAGTAAACTGAGAAGGAAAGACAAGAGATACCAGCACAGATACGTGGAGGTGGAGAGCCATTATGACATTCTTTCCAGTTCTACTTCTACATTAAAACACACAATGATGAAATGTGACTTTGTTAAACTACCATGTGTTTACTTGAAATCCAGAGGAGAAGGGCCCTTATAGTATATGTCTACTTAGAAGCATGCATGTGAGGAGCGTCAGTTACACTAAATAAACATCACAGTATGAGCAACTGATGGTGGGCATGCCATCCAAATTGCCTTGGATAAATGCAGACCTATAATGGCAATGAACTACAGTCATTACCAAGACACAAGTAAGGATTTACTTAGAGCTAAAGACCTTTTTTGTGTCTGTTCTTCTGGTTGCTGTTGGAAATAAAGACAAATCATTTGAAGGGGAAAGTATCCAGTAATGTACTTACTAAATGATCTAGAAGCAGATGTGATTCTTTAGCTCCCCACTGTACTGGGGAGTCATTCTCAGAAAGGCTGCATCTCTGCCTGTTAGCTATGGCAATAGAATTTGTTATAACCTGATTTGTTTGTTTTCTTTTTCATTACAGTGGACATTCCAGAAATACACGGAAGAGAGGGCTATGAAGATGAAATTGATGGTGAGTATTGCTATGATTTAGCAGATAATCATGAAATTCAAGTTTGGTTATAAATACGTCAACAAAAATAATGCCTAGGGTATTAGAAGGCCAGAATTTAGAACTACCAGTCAAAAGTATAAGGGAAAAGAATCCAGAGAGAGAAATGGAGAAACCATCAATTGCTTTGTCAAGGTCAAATTTCGAAATTTAGAAAGTTTATTGAGTTCCTTCTGCCTAATCTGAAACAGGTCCCCTACTTCAGGCAACTTTTGACATTGATGAACTTTGAATCGGATAAACCCTTTAGAAGTAAAAGCGAGGCGCTTCTATATGTGGTGCTGCTTGAACCCATTGACCTCTTCCCAAAAAGGACCTGAGTAAATGAGTATAAATGTGAATATTCTCCTAGGCTTTCTGTGGTTTCCTGTTCCCTGGCTTCAGGGGAGCCTTTCTCACACTATCCAAGACTGCAAGTTGGGGCTCATTGCCAGATTTAGGTTTCTTTTCTACAATGCCCATCTTGTATTTAGTTCAAGTTCTATCTCCCACTTCAAATACACATGCTTCAAGAGGATGAAGCGAGAGCCCTGACTGGATGACCGCTGAGCAAACATGGAGATATAATTTCTCCCCTCGACTCAGAGCAGCACACGTCTCTCTGGGCTTCTCTGAGTGCCAGAGTTGATCTCCGAGAGAGAACACCACAGTTCCTCTCAAAGAACAACGTTAGACCAAGATTGATGCATTTAAGAAGAGCCGTTTATAGAACAGCTGCTTTTAACCTGACCTTAATCAAACACTTCAAATGTAGTTATAGAAACAGAGTGACTAACCCAAACAGCACCTTGTTAACTCAGCACAGACTCTCCCCGTGAAACCCCATCTAACGCTCCTTTTATGGGCAAAGCTGTGGAACTGGCCTACAAGGAAAGGCTGCAGTAGGTGCAGCAGTAGAAGCACTGTGATGGGTACAGAGAGCAGGGGATGAGGACACAGAAAGTGTGATTCCTATTCCTAGTTTAACTGCTTGCTAAGTCTGGAACCTCCAGTGAGTTACCTGGTCACCTAATTTCTTAGAAACTTGAGTTTCTTCATCTTCTTCTTCTTTTTTTTTTTTTGAGTGGGGGCTGGGGAGGAGGAGCAGAGAGAGAGAGAAGGAGAGAGAATCCCAAGCAGGCCCTGCACTGTCAGCATGGAGCCAGTCACAGGGCTTGATCTCCTAAATCATGAGATCATGACCTGAGCTGAGATCAAGAGTCGGACACTTAACCAACTGAGCCATGCAGGCACCCCTGAGCTTCCTTACCAGTTAAAAAATTATAATACCCTGACTTCTTCATGGGATTATTGGGAAATCTTACAAAATGAGCTGTGGATGTGGCCAGGCCTTGGCCACACTGTTGAAATAATACGTGTATTAGTCTGCTAGGGCTGCTGTAACAAAGTACCAAAACTGGGGGGTGTCAACCCACAGAAACTTATTTTCTCACCTTTCTGGAGGCCAGTAGTCCAAGATCAAGGGGTCAGCAGGGTTGGCTCCTTCTGAGGACCACGAGGGAAAGAAGAATCTGTTCCAGGCCTTTCTCCTTGGCTTGTAGATGGTCATCTCCATGTTTCCAAGGCAATGTCCCACCTGTGCGTGTCTCCCAATTTCCCCCTTTTAATAAGGACACCAGCCATATGAGATTAGGGCCCACCCTAATTACCTCATTTTAAGTTGATTATTTCTGTAAAGACCCTATCTCTAGGAGCACCTGAGTGGCTCAGTTGGTTAAGCGTCCAACTCTTAATCTCAGCTCAGGTCTTGATCTCAGGGTCATGAGTTCAAGCCCTACGTTGGGCTCCATGCTGGGTGTAAAGCCTGCTTTTAAAACATTAAAGGCCCTGATCTCCAATAAAGTCACATTCAGAGGTACTAGGGGTTAGAACTTCAACATATGAATGTTGTGGAACACAATTCAACCCATAACAGTAAGGCAAGATGTATGTCAAGTGAGTGTGGTGGCTTGAAAAGCCTCTGCCGCTCAGATGTCCAGCAATACTAAATTGGGAAACTTGTCATGTGAAAATAGTCTCAGCCTGTCTATCCTTTGGTTTAACTTGAAGCAAGTGAATGTGGGAGGGTGAGGAGGCAAAGAAAGAAGCGTGCCCAGATCACAGGACCTCCCCAGTGCCCCAGAGTCACACTGAAGCTCCTACCAAAATCTGAGCTTACTTAGTAGGGTTCAAATTATTTAAATATCAAGTACTTAGACTGTACCAGCTATGTGCTGGACACTAAGCACTTTAAAAATACTAATTCATTTAATCCTCCTAGCAACCCAGTGAGGCAGCCTTAACAGTATCCCTGTTTTATAGCTGAGAAGACAGAGGCAGAGAGGTTAAGTAACTCATCCAAAGTCACACAGCAAAGACATGGTTAGGCTGGGCTTTGATGCCAGCCAGTGCAGTTCCAGAGTCCCCTTGTTTGTCTCTGTGCACTGACGAACCTCTGCAACTGGGCTGGGCTGCGGGGAGCGGGGTTCAGTCACTTCGCCTCCAAAGAGGCAGTGCCCACAATCTCTCATATGCTTGATGTCACAGATGAGTATGAGGTGGACTGGAGCAACTCTTCTTCCCCGACCTCAGGGTCTGGTGCCCCTTCAGCCGACAAAGAAAAGAGCTGGCTCTACACACTGGATCCCATCCTCATCACCATCATCGCCATGAGCTCCCTGGGCGTCCTCCTGGGGGCCACGTGTGCGGGGCTCCTGCTTTACTGCACCTGCTCCTACTCAGGGCTGAGCTCCCGCAGCTGCACCACGCTGGAGAACTACAACTTCGAGCTGTACGACGGCCTCAAGCACAAGGTCAAGATGAACCACCAGAAGTGCTGCTCCGAGGCATGACGGATTGCACCCAAATCACATCTGACGTTTCATTCCAGCAAGAGGGGCTAGTGAAGATTACGTGTTTTTTTTTTTCCTTTGGAAACTGAATGCCATAATCTCGAGCAAACGGATCCAGAATACCGCAGGTGTGGACAGAACAGACAGATGAGTAGAGGGAGGCAGGGAGATGCAGCTGCAAAGGGGGTTACGACCCACCTAGAAGCACGGTGGCAGAGTCGTTGCTGGGACTAAGATGGGAGCTCATCTCTTTGGGGGTCACAGTTCTATTTCATTTGTGAGTTTGTTGTTATTATATTTTATTTCTTCAGTCTGTGAGCAACTCAAAGAGGCAGAAGAGGAGAAGGACTTTTCCAGGACAGAAGCAGAGTGGTGGGCATGGTACTCTGCTTCCTCTTTCTAATCAACACTTGAAAACCAAAAGGTCTTTTCAGACTTCTCATCTTTAGAAGAAAAAAAAAAAAGCTCAAAAAAAAAAAAAAAAGCCGTCCAACTTATCCTGTCCTCTGATCGTCTTACAACTTTACGGGATTTGCTGTGTGTAGGTTCATGCCAGCCAACCCTACAAGCTGCCGTTTCCAGTCGTAGCATTTAAGTAGGATGTTGTTGCCTTTAACTTTTTTTATCCAGGGGAAAATTGCCATTTTAGGGTCAGCATGAATAGCTCTTTCTTATATGCGATTTAAAATAAACCAGAATGGAAACTTCACACATCAAAACTGCAGAGAAGCACCTCCATGTTAGAAGCAGACAAGCCTTAACGTGCTTCGTGACTAGGAGCCATTCATTAAATCTAGACCTAGAATTTGTGGCTGTGAGGCTACTTCGTGTGGGCCTCTGGTGGTGGTTTTACTTTTTCTTTACCCTCCTCCTTGCTCTTCTAAAACATATACATACACACACACACACGTGCACATTTGTCGGGTGTGTAATCCCCAAGGCATAGTATGGTTTGATACTCTCAGAGATGGGGTGGGAAAATACAGGCTGTTAGTATGTTTTGTCCCCCAGTGAGATGTAACTGGAGACCGCTGGACAGAAAGGAGAACAGTGGAGAGGGAAAAAGAAATCCAGCCTCTGTGATCATGTCATAGCAAAGGCTAAGCACACTGTACATTTTGATGAATTCATCTCTCCAACAGGCTAGTGAACATTGACTTCTCCTTGGGTTTACAGCCACCACCTCAGCATTTCAGGAGAGTCAGGTAGGATGTATACGAGCTGATTTGAACCAGAAGTGTGCAAGGACTGTGGACCAAACACTAACACTGCTTCAACCCCAGAGAGACTTGTGTTCTTACACACACACACACACACACACAATTTATGTGTTTTTTATTAAGTGCCTTGAAACAATGAAGAAATCTGTATTTTCCCTCTATGTAGAAATCAGTGAGTATCCTACAAGTAAGGCATCCCTTCTTCCCTAACCCCTGTGGCCCCACTTCCGGCTCCCCCAGCTCACCGCTGATCCTACTAATGGTTTGAGCCCTGCTGCCCGAGAGATAGTCATAGCCCTCGATGACTCTCAGCTACTCTAGAAGGGGAGGTATCAGAAAAATTGTGTGAAGGATAAGATTGTCCACGTCAAGATCGAAATCTTGATTTTGTAGTAATGCCTGAAGATTGCCTGTGTGCTGGAAATACCTTTGAAACCCCACCAGTATGCCCAGCCTATTGCTTATCAGTGGTAAACTGTCAGACCATTTTTGCTGCTATGGTCACCCACAAGTTCATTTGTCTCCTACCCAGGTGAAAGGGAAAGGGTGAATGGGACTGGCTGGTTCCTTTAAATGTTAACTTATGGAAATACTAGTTCAAATGGTAATGTCACAGTGTTTTGTATGCAGAGAGGGAGAGTCCAAACCGACAGCTATTTATTCATATGTGTGTGTCTTTGCGAGCCTTTGAGTTCTCTGTATCTACTGTGTATGTGAATGGTCACGTGGGACTCAGTGATGTTGTTGTGACTTTGACCTAGGGCCCGAGTGTCACCGCTGATCTCGCACTCGTTGGCACAGTGGTAGTTAGAGGTGAAAAGTAAAGCTGTCAAGCCCAAGGGCTTAGCTTTAGGACGCCCCTGAGCTGGGCATGCAGCAGAAGCAAGTTTTTAATTAGCCCATACTCCTCTTCGCCTTCCCATGTAGCTCAGTGTTCAGGAAGCTAGCAATCCTAGAGATTTCCAGAAGTTGTCTGCAGAAGAAGAGAAGTTCAAACACCTACTCTGGGGGGTCCCGGCCCACTCATGCTCAGCGGGCCATTTTATAGTTCCCCAAAGACCAGCTCTGTCTTCAGCCTGCAGTTCGCCTCTAAGTTACCCACAACCCAACCTGCATCCCTCTCCCAGTCCTCGAACCATACTCCCCATTGGCTGGTTTGAGGCCCTGGGTGGGCCCTGCTAAAGGAAAGCCAGCCAGCCAGGGCTGCATATAGATACCTCAGCAACACTGGAGGCTGGTCTGTCGTTAGACAGTAAGACAGTAAGACAGTGGGGCCTGATTCTAACTCGGCAGAAGGCACCCGGGTGCATTTGTTGTCTCTATCTGCAGGTAGGCTAGCTGACCCGTCTCCTTGAATCGTTCCCTTTGGGAAACCCAACTCACAGTATTGATCTCCTTTTTTGCCTTGTACTGAATGACACATTACCTCCACGCTCTCCCGGACTAGGCAGTCAACAGGGCCACAGGGTTGCTTTCTCTCTTAGGCGGGGATGGGGAGTTGACAGGGATGAGGGTCCGAGGAATGAGCATGAATGCAAGAACACAAGAGGAAAGGTTAAGCTGTCACACAGAACGTTAACTTTTCCAGAGTTTGCAGCTAAAGGTATTTGACCATTCGCTGGCTGAGCCAGATCACGGGAACTTGAGAGCTTTTACTGTGATTCTTCAATGTAAAAAATAAACGACAAGGTCAAACTGTGTTTATATGATTTGTATAAAGCCTTTTTAAGATTGCTATTTAAATAAACACTATGCCAGAGATATTTTTCTGCATATTTTTTATTGGCGACCAAGATACTCGGATTTAGCATGACCAAAACATCCCAGTTTGCCCGAGACGTTCCCAAGTGTTAGCACTGAAAATCTGACATCCCTGGAGACCCCGCAATCCCAGCCAAACCAGGATGGTTGGTCGTTCTCCTAGGACAACATTTCTAAACACTTTTTGTGGAGTTAGTACGTTGATCGGCTGGCTGGCTTTTCATAAAATGGAAATACGATGGGGCTGGGGAGTAGGCTACCTGGACAAGTCAGCTACTTTAACTCAAAGGATTGCGGGGATAGTGTTCCAAGACTATGATCCCTGTAAACCCTTCTTCTGCCAAGATAGTGCCAATCCCCTGCCACTTTTGACTCTTCTACTTCCTGGTCAAACATTTGCTTGTCAGTGTCCATGCTGATTTTAAGGTCTGTGACACCGCTTCTCAAAGTGTGGTCCCTGGGCCAGCGGATTAGCATCACTTGGGAATTTGCCCGATTTGTACATTCTCGGGCTCCGCTCCAGATCTACTGAATAAAAAACTCTGGGAGGAGAGCCTAGGGATCTGTATTTTAACAACCCTTCTAGTGGGTTCCGGGACACTTTCAAGTTTAAGAACCTGTGGTCTAGGAGAAAGGAAGAGTAGCCTGGCCTCACAAAATGGTCAGGGATCTTTTCACCTGTGGGTTATTGGATTCAAAGCAAACTAGACTCTGGCCAGGGAAAGCTAAATTAGGAAGTTGAGTTCACCTCTAGGTAGTACAAGGCCCCAGGGAAGGAGGAGGGAGAAGCTTTATTATGAACACATATATGGGAGACTCAGTAAGACAAATCTGCCCCCATCCTGAGGCTCTATTCACCCCAGAAAGGAAATTTGGTTCAATCATTTACTCAGGAAATGTTTTTGAGAACTTCCTGATTCTATAAGCTCTTGGAGCTTACACTCCAGTGAAGGGGACAGAAAGGAAATAGCCAAACACATAAAATAAGGACTGGTTATGTAAAGGCAATAAACCAGTAGCTCTGATGGAAAATTACTAGACATTGAAGGTGTAATATTTGTGTTTCTTAAGTTCATATTTGCAAAACATGACTCTTTATTACTGATGTTATAGGACATGCAGTAATTAAATAAAACTGTCTTTTAGAGTCAACAACATTTATCATAATGAAACCTAATGAATCTGAAGTCTAATACAACACATCTCTTTAAAACTTATTTAAAAAAAAAATTACGAGGGCCACTCCCACTAAATGGTTGATCGGAGAAAGCATCTCTGAAGAGGTAATATTTAAGCTAAAACCTGAATTGAGAGGAAGGGGTCGGCTCAGCCAAGTGCCTGGGAGAAGCTTTTCAAGTTGAAGGAACAGCTGTGGGAAAGAATTCGCTGCGCCCCCTAGGAACACAGGCAGTGGCTGGTTGAAAGCATGATCATGAGAGCGGTATGGAGAAGAGGCTGGGGAGCGGAGTCACAGCGGGGATGCTGTCGGATCTGTATCACCCTTTGGCCTTCCTTATAGAAAAGAGAGCTCCCCACCACCATTCCTTCCCATTCTTCACTGGCGGTAAGGCCCCCACAATCAAATTTCTGCAACTTCCCTCTCTGGCTTTCTGTGATCCTGACGGCATCGTGTGTCTCCTGAAATGCCTGCTTCTATCCCATTACTGACCCGAGCAACAATAAGAGAGGTTAAAATGAAAGCAAATTTTTACTTTCCTTTAACTGAGCTTTTGGGTATTTTTAAAGTCCTAATAAACTAATAATATCTCCTGGTCCCTAGCCATCTAGTGTTTATAGAAGGTCTTTTTTTCCTCCCTTATCTGCATCCTTCTGGAAATGTTTATACAATCCTCAGGGGAGGGAGTGAAATGAAGTTGGAACAAGCCCATCCTTGAGGGAAACAGGACCCATCTGGATGCTGAGGTACCCTTGTCTCTGCAACGTTGGTGGTAGCGATGGGGGGAGGGAGGGGAGCCTGAAGAAGAAATGGAAAGATGACTCGGTTCCAGTTCGTACAGGCTTCGGGCTCTAATCCCAGGCTGAGCTAAACAAATTCCTGGGGAAACATTTTCCCTCCAGGGGATTGGGTGTGAGAGGAGGAGGTGATGGTCAGAATAGGAAATGCTACCTGTGTGGGTCCTCAGATTTTCCTTCCATCCACCCACGGCCTTCACAGAAACGTGACTATTGTCCCCATCAACAAAATGGGAAGAGCCCCAAGAAGCCTGAGGAATGGGAGGCAAAGGCACAGCTTGCTGCTGAATCCCCGAAGTCCTGGGCCTCACGGCCCACAAGGCTCGACCTCCTCATTCCTTCATTTGACCCTGTGAGGAGCTTCTGGAGGAAGGGCATGCCTTCTTGTACTCCCGGAAGACCAGGCTGAGAGACCTCTGGGGAGGTTCTGCAGTTGTTTCTGCAGCTTATCCAGAGAACAACAGCTGTTTCCTCTCCCTTACCTGCCAGAAAACCCCATACACCTGTGTGTGCAGGGGCACTGTTCCTGCCATGGCTGGCTTTCAAGTGCCGTCAGAAAAAGAGACCCTGGGGCGCCTGGGTGGCTCAGTCAGTTAAGCGTCCGACTTCGGCTCGGGTCATGACCTCACGGTCGTGGATTCGAGCCCCGCGTCAGGCTCTGTGCTGACAGCCAGCTCAGAGCCTGGAGCCTGCTTCGGAGTCTGTGTCTCCCTCTCTCTCTGACCCTCCCCTGCTCATGCTGTCTCTTCTCTCTCTCTGTCAGAAATAAATTTTAAAAAAGAAAAGAAAAAGAGACCCTTCCAGTGAGGTGTACCTCACCCACCCCGGGCTCTGAGCTTCCCCTCTCCCCCCTCGTGCCCTGAAGCACCAGGTCAGCAGGGCCCCTCTCTCCACGGAGCACCCGGCCCACGCACGTCCCACACAGGGTGCAAAACCCTGTCCTGAGGGCCGGCCAGGCCCGTGTGCACACAGAGGAGCCCAGAAAAGTGCTCCACCAGCAAGGAGGTAAGGCCCAGGGACCTAAGACCCGGGATGTGCTCTCTGCTCCGGGCCGCTCACCAAACGAGCCAGCCTGGGCCGCTGCGGTCAGGCACGGACCCTCCGACACCCCCGTTCAGACAAAGTCCCCTGGAAACCCATGCAGCTCTTGCCAAGGGCAGGCGACAGCCCCCGCAGCCCCCAGGCCTCTCAGAACCATCCGCAGGGCCAGGTTGCCGTGGTTTGGAGCGCAGCTCCGCTAATAAATCTCCATCCTGAAGCCCTTGACTGCCTCCGCTGGGAATTGAAGCGAAGCGTCGCCGAGCACCCGCCGGCTGCCCCACCGCCCTGCCAAGTGTCACTCGAAAGTGTCCTGGCAGGGCCTTGCTCCAGAGCCGTGGTGGGCGGCCTTTCTGGATTTGCCCTCTTTCTCTACCTTAACACACACCCTTACCTCTTGTCTTCTTGATTACTCACATTTCTCTTCCCAGGCAATAATTTTTAAATCCTATGGGAGTTCAAAGAACCCTATAGAAGGTTTTGAAGTCCCCAGTGCTCTTCTAACCTTGAACGTGGGCATGCTGAGGATGTGGGAGAGCTCTGGACCCAGGACTTGAGAGACCAGGGTTCTCGGTTCTACCTCCAGCACAGTGACCTCAGGAAAGTCATGGATGTTTTGGCTTTCCCATCTGGGAGGAGGGCAGTTGGGCTAAACCAGCTCTGAGCCCCGGGCTCTGACATCCTAGCCAATGGAAGAGTTCTGTTTAGGTGTCTGTGTGTCACACGGCCCATGAGGAAAAAGCTCCGCAGAGCTTCCTGTCCCTACCTTCTCCCCGCCTCCCTTTGCAGAGGCACCTGGAAGCACATCCTTGGGCTTGACCCCACTGTGGAGCCGGCCCAAATCCAAGCTCCGTCTCAGCAGAAGTGCTCTTTGCCAGAGCCCCATGGAAGTAGATGTGCTTCCTGGTCTCCCACTAACTCTTGAGGAAATAATTTAGGCATGGATTCATTCATACAGTCAACACGTTTTATATTAAATGCAAACTATGTGCCTTGCTCGGTGGTAGGGGACAATGATACACATAACAGACCTTGTCCCCACCCTCACGGAGCTTACAATCTAGATGGACATAAGTGAATCCAATAACCACACAAATCTATCATCACAACCATGGCAGGAGCTGCGGAGTGATGTGTGGACAGCTGTGAGTATATGAGGGGTCAGGGAAGCCTGAGCACCACAGCCATTGGGAGCTGCAATCTCGGGCCAGGTCAGATGAATGGGAAGGGCAGGGGGAGAGTGTGTCAAAGAGGGCCAGCATGCACAGAGATTTGGAGCCAGAGGAAAACCCGGGTGGAGTAAAAGTGGAGAGTAAAGAGAAGCATCTCGTTCACCTCTATATCAGGACCTCCAACTCATACCTGGCCCTTACCATACAAACACAATAAATGTTTACTGAATGAATAAGCGACTTGTATCAATCCTTCCTCATTGCTGCCTATGCTTCACTATAGAGGCAAACCTGACAGCAGAGCTCCTAGAGACTGCACTGAGAATTTGTCCCCACGTTCCAGTGTGGAGATGGGCACTATCTGTTTCTGTTTAGATACAATGATTTTGGTTAAATGTATTCAGATTAAAATACTGTTGAAAAAGTTGGAGGCTTGCCAGAGTTAACGAATTAAGGTATCCCGTGCAGCCACTGTGGAAAACAGTATGGCGATTCCTCAAAATGTTTTACACAGAATTACCACAATTCCATTTCTAAGTACGTACACCCAAAAGAGTTGAAAGCAGGGGACCAAACAGACACTTGTGCACCAACATTCACAGCAGCATTACTCACTGTAGTCAGCAAGTGGAAACAACCCCAATGTCTATCAACAGATAAGTAAGTAAACAAAATTGGGTCAAACATACAGTAGAATACTAGTCAGCCTCCAAAAGGAATGACGTTCGGGGGATACATATTACCACACAGATGAACTCTGAAAACATTATGCTAAATAAACTAAGCAGGACACATGTCATATATTCCCACTAATAGGA